TCAAAACAACCCAACCGCTGGGTCAAAACAACCCAATAGCTCGGTTTGTCCCTTTTTAAGAGGGGCAATTAAGGAGTGTGAGTAAATGTTTTTTAGAGTGTGAGTAAACTAGAAAATATATATTCACTAAAGAAATGTAAATAACGTTCATACAACTTTTTATGATACATTTTATTCGTTTTCAAAGTTTTTCGTAGTTTTATTTTATTTTTTTATTTTTGCAACCACAAATGATTATAAAATGTCTTTGATAATTTCTTAATGTATCCATGACCTTATGAATCTCACTGTATATTATCTGTATGTTCTGTTTTGAAACTACAGTATATAATGCCACCTAGTGAACATTAGCTGTAAGTGTGTAATTTGTGCATCAATAGTGTTACAGAATAGCAGATATAATAACTTGTTTTAAGCTGTAAAAAAAGTGATTTACTGAAAATATTTCCCTACGCTATGGCTCAAATTTCATTACAATAAGTGCATATTTAAATTTTTGGTGTCACAGTCAATTACAAGACATCATATAAATGACTGGGGACATGATTGCTGTGATAATGATTTGTTTCCCATCAATTATTTTCACAATCCAAAAACATGCAGCATATGTGAATTGGAGACATTAAATCGTCTGTGTGAATGTGTGTGTCAGTGTGTGTTTGCCCTGTGAAGGACTGGCCATCAATCCAGGGTGTTTCCTTGCCTGCGGCCCGAGACACTAGGTTAGAAATTCTTGCGATACTACAGAGGATAAGCAGTTTGGAGAATGGATGGGTTTTTCATCCTGCATTTCATATTAAAGCAGCACTATGTAACTTTTGCCGCTCTAGCGGTTAATAAACAGAACTGCACACATCCCGCGGAAGAACATTCCAACCGGAGCTACTTCTCTAAGTTTATGTCTATGGCGATTCACGCAGGTATGTGTTACTCCGCAGCGGTGACGACCCGACCAGGCTACAATAGTCCAAATATAAGTACTTATTATTAGTGTACCGTAGTGATTCGGAATAAGACAAAAACGCGGTTTGGAAGATTAATTCATGATGTACTCGCTCATTATATACATTTTGCACATTTTGAACACAGAAAAAGTTACATAGTGCTGCTTTAATGCTGAAAAAACACTTCAGCTCTGTAGAGACTATAACAATAAAACATCGTGAGATCTGTATGGTTACTGTTGCATTTTGCAGTATAGGGTATGAATTTTAAATGTGTACACTTATATTACTGAAATGCTGAAAACTGTTTACAGGATTAATATAACATCACTGCTCCACTAAAATGACTGGGAGAAAGAAGAAAAAAAGAAGAAGAAGAAAAAACAGAATAATGTGTAAAAAGGGTCTAAAAATCGAAATCGCTTATTGATAAAATGATAAAAATCCATTGATATGGATATCTTAATGATATGAAAGATACGTAAATATTTTTACGTTTTTTTTAGCTAAATATACGTAGCGATTTGTACGTTTTAAAGGTTGAAATACGTCTAAATTGTACGTATTAGCATCAATAAAAACGTATAAAAATGTACGTTTTGTGCTTGTAAATGTTACGTATTAATACCTACGTATAAACATGAGACCAGGCTGGATATTACTAGGCCTATCACTTTTATACAATAGTTTAATAAAAAAAAAGAAAGTAATATAAAGTACCTTACATTTAAACAAATTATTGTCAGTTACTTTGTCTGTATTTCCTCAAACCACCGACAATATTTAATCTAAATACATTATACTGGCACTCATAAAAACAGTCACTCATTGCCACTGGTGCATTGATATAACCTGCTTAAAGAGTCACTAAAATCCCCACCACTAAAACACAGTCTGACAATCTGAACAAGCACAGACAAGCTGTGAAAAGTCCCAGTGCTGACTGTATATCAGGACTCTTGGAGGACCACAACTAAACTATTCTAAACTTACTTGTCTGACTTCTGCTG